AAGGCCCAATGGAAATGTTGACAAGAGTTCAGTGCCCAGATACAAGGAAGGCAGATAACAGACAAGGAAGAAGAATCTGAATAAAAATAGTTAACATTAACATTTTCACTGAAGAGGACCCTGACAAATCTAAAAGCAGTGTTCTGAAATGAAGTCTGGAGCAGTTGATGCCTTAATATCAGCTGTATAAAGTACTGTAGGATAAAATAGACCAGAAATGCATTACAGAATTCCTCAGCACAAGTACTCTACAGGAGACATCAGTGCAAGAACCTCATCCATACATTTCAACCAACGATCTACAATCTTTTGCATTAACCCACCAAGGCTATGTCCCTCTTCACTCCTTTAAAAATCAACTTAAACCAGCAACCAGAATTTATGATAAATAATATTTATGTATCCTTTGTAGCCATAAGTATTGTTTTAACTATAACATCACTACATCAGCCTACAATTACATTATTGCTTTTTACAATTTCAAAAAAAAAAAAAAAAAAAAATTGTTAGCTTTTTGAGGTCTGTAGATTATTATTCATTTTTCCCATATGTTCTTCAGTTCATTTTACACGGCTTTTTGATTACAGGCCATTTTTTCAGGAATGTAACTTCAGTACAGTGTTAACAGATGGTCATCTGTGTATGCATTCCAAAATTACTTCATATGTACTAGAGGTACCTTTCTGTGTAATACAGCCTTGCCCCGCCTAGCGACGTATTCGTTTACCGACAACTCGGACTTACGACGGGTTCTCAGACCAGAATACTGTACATGTCTAAATAATGTATATTAGCTGATTTCCTCTATTCTATTTATTGCAATATACAGACACTGCTGTATAAACATTTAAAAATATACCAGAAATGTTATAAACGGTGCAAAGGTGACATTAAAACAATATCAAAGATGGTTGACACAAACCCACTACCATTATAGTATGCTCCTCACTTAGCGATGAATTCGTTCACCGACGTGGTGTTAGGAAAGGAAATCCGTTGTTAAGTGAGGAGAGGCAGTATTAAAAACAACTTTTAACAAGTTTCAAGTAGTGTGGTAGTAACTTTTCTTGTTTTTTTAATTATGCAAGTACATACAGCACAATATATGTATATATATATGGCATATCGCTTGGTATTTATTCTGTAGAGGAATAAAAGTTGGTTTACACATCAGGGACCAGGAGGAAAGAAACAAACACCTCACCTGACTTAACAGTTAAGTCTGAAATGAGTCACTGACTAATGCCTCAGCAGTAAGTTTATCAGTATGTACATAACAGTTTTAACTTGTAGGAAATGGGAGCTAGGTTATATTCTTTATTTTTCACATTTAAGATCGGAAGTTTTTGTTAATTGTGCATTCTGCTTACTAAATACAGCATGGTTATATTAATGACTTGACTTTCATTACTTGCAGCAGGGACAATGACTCGCAAAAGGAAGTTGTGTGAAATTGTTGATGCGGAGTGGAACAGTGCAGAAGATGTAGGAGAAAAGGATTCTTCACAATCCACTGTAGATGCACAAGAAACCCTCTATGTCTGTGTCATGGACCAGAGTCAGGAGGAAGCTGTTGATGATTTCAGTGCACCTCCTGCAGGTCAAAGTGTAAGCTTTCCTTTAATTTTTAATTTGGTTCTTTATGTAAACTTTAATTACACATAATTTTGGAAGTCTCTCCCTCCAGTAGCTGCACTGAGCAATCCATATGGGTTTAGCTCATCATACAATAATAATAATGATTATAATATACCTTCAGTAGGTTAAACTCCCCAGAAGGGATGTTTTTTGAGTCTGGTTAGGGGCTCTTGGTCCAAGGAATTGAACTCTTCCTCTCCTTCTTTGGATTGAACTTCATTGTGTATCATTCCCTGGGTACTGTATAAGCCCAATGAGATTAGTGCTTTTTCTTGAATATAAAAATAATTTATTAAGTTAAAACTATGATATTCAGATAATACTGTCATATTTTGACCAAATATATTATAATAGGTTTTACGTACTAATTAATATATCTTGGTTCTTATTATCTTAGTATTTAAGTTACTTTATTTGCCACTTGCATTATTCTAGATTAATATTCAGTAGAAATATTGGCAGATTTCACTGATGGCTTCCCAAAAATTTCTTAAAAACAAAAAAATCTTAGTCAGCCCCAGACATTGAAGATAGCACCATAATGCTGGTTAAGGGCTCTTGATTCAGGGAATTGTACCTACCAGTACACTCCCAGGATCTGATTCTTTCCCTGTTACTTAGGTGCTGTATGACCTTACAAGTTGAGCACTTCCCTTTGTATTTACAGTGGTCCCTTGAGTTATGATGGTGTGGAGTTATGATAATTTTAAATTAAGATTAACTTTCATGAAAGAATTTAATTTTGAGTTGCAATGAAAAATTTGAGACATGACATGCATTTGTGATTTAATGAAGTCATATTTTGTGTTACCAAGTTATCATGGCTTTTAAAGCGTGAGGTAAACAGGCAATTTCTCTGAAGATCAAGCAAGAAATTGTGAAAAACATGGTGTTAGAATTAGTGCATTGGTGGGGGAGTATGGCTGTCCACAGTCAACCACCTCTGCTATTATCAAGCAGAAAGAAATTGTGAAAAATGTTAAAGTGGCTGACAAATCTAGGCTAGTCAAAAAAGTCATAGAAATTATCGTTGAGTGGGAAAAGGCTATTGTTATTGTGGATAAGAGAGAAGTAGACGAAGGAAAATGCAGTCCAGGCACGTTACATCTGTGGGCATGTAAACCCACGCAAGGTAAAATAAAAGTTACATTCATGGGGTCTTGGAGTGAATTATGATAAAATCGTGTACAGTATTTTGGGGTTTGAGTTGATAGATTTGAGGTATGGTAAGTCTTCTGGAACGGATTAATATCGTAACTTGAGGGACCACTGTAATAGGTAAACATCCAGCTTGATTGAGATTTTTTAAGATAAAGTACACCCTTGACATGGCTGAAGTTAATTTACAGAAGAGGAAAATGGATTTAAAGATAAAATATACAAGCAGAAAAAATTGTATAAAAAAATTAGTTTATCTTGTAAAAATTGTACATAGTCTTTGTCAGTGGCAGCTCGTCCATAGGACCTGCAGAGCTGCAGTCCCCTCGGATGCTCACTGCCAGACATATGGCTTCATCAACCTTGCGCTAAAATAATTTGCAACTGACAAATATATTGCAGGAAAAATCTGTTTTATGTTTTCAATATAATTATAAGTTAATTTTTATTTTTTTTTTGAAACGACATAAAAATAACTAAAATGGAAGTTTGATACGTTACGATAGTATAGGTATTACTGGCGCTACAAGCTGCCACTGGTCTTTGTATTTTAATAAATTTACCGTAGATCAGTATAATCAGGTTTTGATTGCTAGACGTGGAAAAATTCTATAAGTAAAGAAATGATTTAATTTTACTAACCGTCACAGAATAGTGAAACATCTGAACCTAGGAAGATTACCACCAAGAGAAAGATTGTTTCTTCTGAAGTGCTGATGAATCGGATAAGTTTAAACTGTGAGTGGAACATGTGTTGTGCCATATACAGGAAAATGGAGCAATTTGTGTCTCATGTTGCTGATCATCTTTCTGCTGAAACAGGTGTGTTCATCATAAAGTGGGATGAATTATTAAGATTAGAAAAATATTTCTGATTATGGTATGTGATTGACCTTGTGTTAGGCTCCCCATTAGGTCACCAGGCTTCCCTAATGACTGCCTGGTTAGAAAAACTGTTGTTGCTTGAGATTCAAAGACCAACAAATCTTCCATAACTCAGCTGATGCAACACATATCACATGAGGTAACTAGTACCGATAAATATATAAAGATGATATTTGTAACATATGGGGGACCTTGAGATGTTTTGCCCACCAGGGGATTCTTCAGTCCAATATCACATAAAATGAAAGTGCAGTATATATATGGTCTAAGGAAGGTGAGATACAGTGTGGTCAGGAGCATTATGGTATGCTAGGTTGATGACTGTCCTTTAATATTAACTTGCTCAGAACTTTTGATGTGCTGAGGTTTTTTATTTGGCACAACTGCAGTGCTATTACTCATATTGTGACTGATTCAAGATGACAACATCTATGTGGGTCCTCATCATCCCTCTTCATATGATGTCCATTAATGTTTGCATGGTACATGCATTGTTATGGCCATCAGTGTGGCATTCATGTGTATACTTATTGATTCTCTTATCCAACTAGCTTTCACCAAGCTATTTTGCCCAATTTTATTTATGATTTTATTTTATTTTATTTTATAAACAAAGAGCACACCATATTCTTTAAACCTCAAAGTTGACACGTCTAGCAGATTTGTTGTACAGTGGTACCTCGAGTTATGAACTTAATTCGTTCCAGAAGGCTGTTTGAGTGCCGATACCCAACAAATTTGCTCCCAAAAGGAATAATGTAAATTAGATTAATCCATTTCAGACCTCCAAAAATACACTTACAAAAGCACTTACAAAAATAAGCTTACATAATTTTTTGAGTTGGGAGCTGTTCAAAACTCGAGGTACCACTGTACTTGCTAACTTCAATGTCATCATTTTTCCCAAAAATCTTCCCAGCTGGGAGTCTCAGACTTGGTACTACCTCCAGTACCAAAATCAAAGAACTTGGCTAGATAAAATCTAATAATACCTCTGACAACAAAGCAGGAGTGTCATTCCATACTAAGGTTGTAACAAGGTCTTTGTGAAGGAACCTATGAGAGATTTGGACACAAGGATCACTGAACATGAATATGCATCTTACACTGAATAATAATAATAATGCACCTATGTATTATACATATAAACACTTGATGGATATCTAATAAAGTGTGATGAGGTCATAATCATTATAAAAAAGGATCTATACAAGGACTTGCCTAGAATCAATCATAAAATGTCTTAGCCATATAGTACAGTTGTGCAAAACCAGAATATTCAGTATATGAAGGTTTTTAGCCAAGTTAATCTAGCAAAACACTGCTGTCAAGTAACTTGATACACAGTTCCATGTTTGACCTTGCTACGTCGGATCTTCCTTTGACTGTTGTACAGGATTCTCTGATTTTAGGTGTGGTACACTGTATAATCCTCCGGGTTTAGCGCTTCCCCCTTAATTATAATAATAATAATTAGGTGTGGTACTGTGTTATGTTGAAGAATCCCCTGCTTGGCAAAATGTAACCTTAATGAAAGTTTCTCCCTTTTGCTGCACATGCTTTCATGATTCAGTGCATAAAATATTGTTGAGCAGAAGTAGAAATCTCCAAGAAGGATCAAACTGGTTGTACGCTTGTCTGTGATAGCTTTTGGACCACAACCACCATTACCCTGTAATTGTAATTGAATTAATGTAGCTCAGTATACAGTGAACATATTAGTGGACTTAATGCTGATGGCATTGTGAAACTTTCAACCCCCCCCCCCCAATAAAAAAAAAAAACTTGCATTGTGGATTCAAATGGCACAACAAACAGTAGCCTGTACCTGCAATTTTGATTATTACAGCCCTGCATTCAGGGAAAATATTGAGAAATCTCTAACAGAGCAAAATAGTGTCCCAATAATTATAGATTGAACATTAAAATGGTATAAAATACCGACAGGTTGTTAGGTAAGACACATATGCAACAGTTAGGTATCTTTATTTCGAAACGTTTGGCCTACACAGTAGGCTTCTTCAGTCGAGTACAGAAAAGTTGATAGAAGCAGAAGAGACTTGAAGACGATGTAATCAGTCCATCACCCTTAAAGTTTTGAGGTGGTCAGTCCCTCAGTCTGGAGAAGAGCATTGTTCCGTAGTCTGAAACAGTTTCAGACTACGGAACAATGCTCTTCTCCAGACTGAGGGACTGACCACCTCAAAACTTTAAGGGTGATGGACTGATTACATCGTCTTCAAGTCTCTTCTGCTTCTATCAACTTTTCTGTACTCGACTGAAGAAGCCTACTGTGTAGGCGAAATGTTTCGAAATAAAGATACCTAACTGTTGCATATGTGTCTTACCAATAATTATAGTTTCTGTAACATGTCTTTTCTTTAAAATTATGGAACAGTCAAAGCAAAATATTCGTTTTTGTTTTTTAATTCAATATGTTGTACCCCTCAACTTTTTGATGGCGTAAACTTATAATTTATATTGATTATTTCCTTGATAAATGGCACCAGACTTTTCATGCTTACCAATTTAGGACCTTTTTAGTAAGAAATGCACGTGTTTATCACTACAGGTGTTTACTGCCCATATTAACCCTTTCTGGGTCGAGAGGCCCACTCCAAAACTTGTTCTCAGGGTCGAAAATTTTTCGGAAAAAAAAAAAAAATTCTCATGAAAAGATAGAGAATCTTTTCCCAATCGTAATGACACCAGAAATATGAAATTTGATGGAAAACTTACGGAATTATGCTCTCGCGAAGTTAGCAGTCGTGACGATATTTATGCATCGGCGATTTTGCCCACTTTGAGCCCTATTTTCTGCCAATTCCAGTGTACTAATCGACAAAAATCATAACTATTTTGCTAGAACTCCATTTTTTCTATCGAATTAGTAAAAGAAACCACCCATTTACCAATTTCAACTATCCAATAAAGTGGGCAGAAATTAGCAATTTTGCCAATTTCACACAATTTTCAAAAGATGCCAATTTCCAAATAGGGTCCAGAATAAACAAGAAAGACATTCCTGGCACTAAAATAACATTTCCTCTGTTCATTAGTCATGTCCCCACGCCCCACTTACATTTCTTTTACTTTCCACTTTGAATTTTTATTCTCACAAAAAACAGGAGATTTACTGTTATGCAGACTACTGCATTAGTGTAGAAATGATATAAATAATATCAGCGCACTTATGAAAGAATATTGGACTCGCCAGTTGATGTGTATTGGACGCGTGGCATGATTTGTTTACTTTTGAACTTTGGCAAAAATTAAACATTTCTGCTATTTTGAGCTCAATTTCAAGGTACTTTTCATTGTGAAACCAATCAAGATCGTCTCAATTTCTATAATATGTCTTCCATTATATAAAATGAGACCAGGAAAACTAGAATACAATCATAAATACCATATGAAAATACAGTGCAAAGCCACTGTTTTAAACCAAAAACACTGTCAGTTTTTTTTTTTTTCTCATTTTGCACTGTGTGCTGCAGGATATTTTTATACTGCGCACACTGACCACATAGACCCATTCTTTCATATGTAGGCCTACCAGCTTTCTCTCACTAGATTTGAGGGCGCTAGAATTTAGGCATTCTAGTACGTCAATAACCCTGGTGCGTAAGCCGTACTAGTACGTCAGAAACCCTGAAAGGGTTAAAAGAATATGATGTACTGTATTTGCAGGACCTCCGTCAGGTGATGGATATCTGTGTCACTGGCGAGAATGTGGATTTGTGTGTAGCACGAAGGATGAGCTTGAACGGCATGTGTTCTTCCATGCTTTCCATTCTAAAATCAAAGGTCTTGGTGCAATCCTGATGGAGGACAGAGAGGAACAGGTAAACCTGACAGTATTCAAGTAGGTTTTTACAAATGCTTATTAAATTTCACATAAGCTAGCATCTTGCACCTTAACATTTATATAGATTTTTTAAACAGCTGTAGATTATACCTAGGTAATAGGTTGGTAGACAGCAATCTCCGTGGGAGGTACTATTGTCCTGCCAAGTGAGTGTAAAATGAAAGCCTGTAACTGTTTTACATGACGGTAGGATTGCTGGTGTCTTTTTTCTGTCTCAAACATGCGAGATTTCAGGTACATCTTGCTACTTCTACTTACACTTAGGTCACATTACACATGCATGTACATACAAGCATATGTATATACGCACCCCTCTGGATTTTCTTCTATTTTCTTACTAGTTCTTGTTCTTGTTTATTTCCTGTCTCCTTGGGAGAGTGGAACATAATTCTTCCTCCGTAAGCCATGCATGTTATAAGAGACAACTAAAATGCTGGGAGCAAGGGTCTAGTAACCCCTTCTGTATACATTACTGAAGTTAAAAAGAGAAACTTTTGTTTTTCTTTTTGGGCCACCCTGCTTTGGTGGGATATGGCTGGTTTGTTGAAAGTAGTAGTAGATTATAATAACTGACTTGCAGTGGTTATACTTTAAGTACTCTAATCATTGCTGTTTGTTAACAGTTAAGTAATTACAGGTACCAGGAAACTTCCCTGATGCTGGTGAGGCTCTTGACCTATCCTCCTCTTGGATTGAACCCGATTACCTTTCATACTCCATGTGCTTCATTACCTCCCTTTTGGTTTAGGACTTTTTTCTGATTATGATTAAATCAACCCTCATTACAGTATAGCTCATACTATAAGCATTTAATTAAGTAAATGTTTGGTTTCAGGGCTTTTAGTACTTTATATACATATCCCTGCTGGCTAGTGAAAATTCACGTGTTTCATAAATATTTAGTTAAATGGGGTAGGATGGTTCAGTTCATTGCAGCTTGAGACTAGGAGACCAGGGCTTGATCCCTGGCACTAGTGGAAATGTTGGGCATGTTTACTTATACCTGCTGGCCCTGTTCACCTAGCAGTAAGTAGGTACTTGGGTGTTAGGCAACCAACATGGGTCACATCCTGTGGAAGAGGATTAAAGGAACATAATGGAAACAAAACAGTCCTCAATAACTTATGACTTCATTGGGTTATCCTGGGTTACTAACCCTTTGGGTTAATAGTTTAAACAAAATCTAGGGTTGGGAGGGACAAGTGATGTACAGTACCTTGGTATCTCTACTGATCTATTATAATAACATGGGTGCCTGTGAATGAGGGGTCTTGTTAGTAAAACAATTTTTGCCCTTCCAATCCTTTCAGGAAAGGGGCCTTGATGCTGGTGAGGTACCCCTCATTTTATTTATTCTTAAATGAAAGCTGATTACTTCTCATTCTCCAGCCATTGTATAAACCCTTACAGGTTTAATGCTTCCCATGAATATAATAATAAATAATAATAATAATTAATGTTAATAAGCTTGCTCCTCCATTACATGATCATCTGTGAGTCTTGTGGGGGCCTAATACTTAAGAAAAAGGTTGACACATTGACCTATAAAGAGTGCATAAGCAGGAAAATAGGGAAGGAGGGAGAATACTTTTTTAAAAGTGAAAAATTGCTTTTATTAATCTTGCACAGTGCTCTATGATCCTTTTGTGTTTCAGCAGTTAAATTGATTATCATCTTAAAGGACATGTTTATATTATTTTAGTTTTTTATTTCATCAGAAATTTGTTAACATTTTTTCTTATGAGATTTATATGTTGCAAGTAAAATTGACATTGCAATATTTTTTCAGTGCATTTTGGATAATAGTGGTCATAACATGATACCAGAGATTCCAGAACCATTTCATTGCATGTGGGAAGAATGTGTTTTAAAATTTGTCTCTGCACAAGATTTCTACTGGCATGTTCTAGGCCATGTACAGTGCACCGATCCTTCTGGTCCTGACAAGACATTCTTTTGTGCCTGGGAAGGTAAGCTGCAGAGATTTAGCATGATCTTACACTTTGAGTTTACAATCTTACCTGTTTCATAGTATTATTGCTTGCACAGGAACCAAGACAGTTTGAGAAAGTCAAAGGTAGATTAAAATGGGAGGAATTATAAAAAGAAAAAATGTGCATGTACTGTATTAGGAAACGAGAGATTAGAACTTGTTACTGAAAGGACAGTGCTAATGTCAAGATGACTTTCTTAATTTTTGTTACGTATGAGACAATGATATCTTGACATATTGGTTAAGAAAATTTTTGAATTCTGTTTAGAACATTATGTTAATAAGAACATTTTTTTTTTATCCAACTTGGTGTATTCATTTGATGTAATAAAGAGATTTAGGGCAAAGTAAATTGCAAAGTGTGAGGCAGTTAAGAAGATGCTTGGAATTTTTTATTATCCCTTTGAAATTAGGATAATTTTACATTTTGTTACAGGATGTAAAGCTGGTTTCAGGCTAAAGATTCGACTTAGAGATCACACTCGCAGTCACACACAGGAGAAACTCATTGGCTGTCCTAATTGCGGTGGAATTTATGCTTCCAACACCAAATTCTTTGATCATTGCATTCGTCAAATTCCACTTAATTGTAAGTTGACTTGGGTATTAGTAGTAATATTAGTGAAAGCTATTCACATGAAGTTCAAAAGATTAAATAAATTTTTTTTTAACTAGCGTCATTATTGTAACTGTTGAAAGAATTTACAGTGAGAAGTTGAATTTTTTTAACACTTGCGATCCAAAAGAGAGGAAACACATTCACAGTTCTTCATTTAATTGCTGTCTTGCCAAAAGTGTGTAGGCATCACATTTCAAATAAACTGAACTGCAAATTGACTGATAGTAAATTAGGAAGAGACCATCATCTGCTTAGGGTCTGTGGCTAAGGTTAAAATGTAATAATCTTTTTTGTTTTCATATATTTGTTATTTTTCACTTTCCATGTACGTTTTCAGCTCAGCAGTTCCAGTGTTCTCACTGCTCAAGGAGGTACGGAAATGAGAGATTGTTACGAGACCATGTACGACACCACATCAATCTCTATAAGTGTAATGAGTGTGATATGACCTGCCCCAACAAGTCTGCACTTGCTGTACATGTTCGATACCGACATACTAAAGACAAGCCACACAAGTGTCCACATTGTGGCCGAGGGTAAGAACGTATTTTATTCAAGGTTTTGTGCTAATAGTTACTGGAAGAGAAATATGAAATGTTTTAAACCAATAGTTTGATAATTGCCCTGATATGAGACAAATTAGTTCCTCAAATTTGTAAACCTAATTTTTTTCAGAATCTTAGGGTTAGAAATTTTTTCTTCCCCTTCTGGCTGTTTTCCAAGGCAGGGTGATCCAAAGAAGGAAACACATTCACCATCATTCATTCAATCACTTTTACCAGAACTGCTGGCATCACAATTCAAATTCATATTACTCGCAGACTTCAACATACCCACCTCTACTTCAGGGTACAAGCACTGCCCTATCCACCTCTTGGACTTAAACCTGACTAACCGAGCCTGGACCATGGCCAGGTTCCGAGAGTAGTGAAACTCGTTTTCCACATTGCTTACCTATCAGCTGTAGGTTGGTGACTGACAGTAACCATCCAAGGAAGTGTTACCATCCTCCCATGTGAGTGTGAAACAGAAGTCTTAAATGTTTTACAGTTAATTCTTAACCCTTTGAGGGTTTTCGTCGTACTAGTACGTCTTACGCGTAGGGTTTTTTGACGTACTAGTACGCATAAATTCTAGCGGCCTCAAATCTAGTGGGAGAAAGCTGGTAGGCCTTCATATGAAAGAATGGGTCTATGTGGTCAGTGTGCACAGTCTAAAAAAAATCCTGCAGCACACAGTGCATAATGAGAAAAAAAAAACTGACCATTTTTTTGGAATAAATCAGCGACTTTGCAGTGTATTTTCGTATGGTATTTATTGTTGTATTCTAGTTTTCTTGGTCTCATTTTATAGAATGGAAGACATATTACAGAAATTGAGATGATTTTGGCTGGTTTTACAATGAAAGGTGCCTTGAAATTGAGCTCAAAGTAGCAGAAATGTTCGATTTTTACCAAACTTCAAAAGTAAACAAATCGTGCCAAGCGTGCAATACACGTCAACTGGTGAGTCTAATATTCTTTCACAAGTGCACCAATAATATTTATACCATTTTTTACACTAATGCAGTAGTCTGCATAACAGTAAATCTTATATATTTTGTGAGAATAAAAATTCAAAATGGAAAGCAAAAGAATATAAGAGGGGCCTTGAGACATGACTAATGACTAGAAGAAATGTCATTTTAGTGCCAGGAATGTCTTTCTTGTTTATTCTGGACCCTATTCCGAAATTGGCATCTTTTGAAATTTGTGTGAAATTGGCAAAATTGCTAAATTCTGACCACTGTACTGGATAGTTGAATTTCATAAATGGGTGGTTTCTTGCACCCATTCGATAGAAAAAATGGAGTTCTAGCGATATATTCATGTTTTTTGTCGACTAGTACAGCGAAATTGGCCGAAAATGGGGCTCAAAGTGGGCAAAATCGCTGATGCGTAAACATCGCCGAGACCGCTAACTTTGCGAGAGCATAATTTCGTAAGTTTTCTATCAAATTTCAAACTTTTGGTGTCTTTATGATCAGGAAAAGATTCTCTATCTTTTCATAAGAGAAAATAATTTTTTTTTTTTTTTAAATTTGGCCGACCCTGAGAACGAGTTTCGGAGAGGGCCTGTCGACCCTCAAAGGGTTAAGCCATGACTGGCACACAGATTTCAGCCTTGACAGACTATGAGTCTTGTCTCATCCCACAGCCCCAGAAGCTTTCTGGTACATATGTTTTCATACCTGTCAGGGCCATCATATAGTCCATAAACCCAAGTTAAGACTGAATGACTTGATGAATAAACAGAAGAATCGATGGAGCATTCACTGACAGTCGTTCGTTACAATTTGCCTCGTGTTTATAGACTATGGTTTTGATGGGTATGAAAACAGATGCACCAAGATAGCTTCTGGGGTGTGGGAAGAGACACTAGTGCCACAGATGGTGGTGGATGGTGCAACACTTATCACAAAAGTTCTCGTTGTAAAATCATCTTATTGTGACATTATGGCTGAATGTAGAGCACTGAGACTGCCACACTCGTGCACCACAGTATGAAACCTTATTCATTCTTCAGATTATTCATTAACAGTTGCTCATTTTGACTTTATCTTGGGTTTATATACATAAATATAGCCTCTCCTCACTTAGTGATGCACTCGTTTACCGACGACTCGGACTTCGACGGGCTCTCGAACCAGTATGTACACCTAGATAATGTATATTAAAGCTGATTTTCTCTTTTCTTTTTATTACAGTATACAGTACACTGCTGTATAAACATTTAAAAATATGCCAGAAATGTTGTAAATGGTGCAAAGGTGACATTAAAATATTATCAAAGATGGTTGACACAAACTCATTATAATGTGCTCCTCACTTAGTGACATAGCTCGTTTACCAGAGATCTTAGGACTGCAACTCGTGGCGGTTGAAATGAGGAGAGGCGTATGTATCACTCGTTGTAAATACATACATTAATTCTGTGCCGTAATTATATAAAACAAGGATTTGTGCCTCCATTGAATCTGTCACACTAGCAACTACATTCTGTTAGAATTAATTACCAATTTGAGTTTTCGGAAATGATGAGGTTAATTACACTGGTCATGCCTGCTCTAACTTAAACTGACTGTAAGATCAGTTGGGAGACCCAAAACAAGTTAAACACAACATTTTGTTGAGGTGATTCAGACAGTGAGAGAATGGTTAGCGTTTAATAAATGACTTACAGTATCATCTGTTAAACTGTAAAAAGGCCGGTGTGGTCAGCCTAGGAAAGGTGAGGGAGGGTGTAAAAAGTGAGTAAGTGGTCGAGGACGGCTTTAAACTTCCAGCAGGCATGCGAGCTGTTTGATAGAGTGAATGGAAGACAAATGGTTTTTAAATTGACGGGTTGGAGGTGTAGCAAAGTAACATGACGGGTTCAGGAAACTGCAGGCCGGATTAGTTAGAGAGGGATTGTACAGTGCCTTGCATCTTAAGGAGGGGTGTTATATTGCAGTTTAAAAACTGTAGTGTAAACTTTGCCTTTCTGGCAAGAACAGGATGGAGTGAATGAATGTGAAGACTTGTTCTTTTTCGTGCCATCCTGCCTGGTGGGAATCGGCCAGTGTGATAATAATAATAAAAAACATTTTATATAACCTTCGTCACATTCATGTCTTGGTAACTTAGCCCTTACCCCAAAACTTCTCTATAATTCTATTGAAATACCACAGCCCTTTGAGTATAGCAGTGTCAAATAGCAGACTTGTGTAAAGTAGACTTCTGTATCCTACATATAATGTTCGTGTTGTAAAAGAGAAGAGTGACTACTGTATGTGCTTGTAGACTATAGTAGCCTTCCTGGAGTTTATACAGTTCTTATGCATAATAAATTTTGTAGATTTGGCTGTTTTGTTGTGCTACACTGATATTTTAAAGTGAATGTTTGTGCCACTAATGTTTATGCATAATCTATTATTGTACACTGTGTATGAGTAATATAGTTTGTATGTTTACATGAATTTTTTAGAAAATGTATTGCTTTTCAGCTTTACACTTATTGCGGATTTGACTCGCCATCTGTTTGTCCATTCTGAAGAGCCAGCCTATGTCTGCCCTTACAACAATTGTGAATATAAATGCCGCTCATCACCTACTCTGAACAGACATATTAAAATGGTGAGACTGATGAATCTGTGTGACTCTTATCAAAACCTTAGTCTGGGAAAATGTTGGTCACGTATACCTCTCCTGTCTAATCTGTTAGTCTGTCCTATGTCTAATTTTTGTACAGCAGTTCTTTCCGTTTGAGTCTGTGCTGGTGTTGTGTGAGGATTTTAGTGCTTTCCAGTTTGTTTTTTCCATTTAGTATAATCTGTACAAGCAATTTGTATATTACATTTGTTAAGGTACCAGTCTGTAGTTCAGGACTTGTGGCTTGTCATCTTTCTTGAATGTTGGTATCACATTGCTATGTCTGGCACTTTATCAGTCATAAATGATTTAAATGTCTGCACAAGTAATTTGCACAGTATTTCAACTTTCAGTATTTGTGGTGATATTCTGTTTGGTCTAGATGTGTTTAATGTGTGAAGTTCCATAGTCTTTTTTTACTTTCTTATCCATTTCATTTCTTGATGTTGTTGGTTGTTATAATTTTTTTTTTTTTTTTTTTCAACAAGTCGGCCGTCTCCCACCGAGGCAGGGTGACCCAAAAAAGAAAGAAAATCCCCAAAAAGAAAATACTTTCATCATCATTCAACACTTTCACCACACCACACATTATCACTGCTTTTGCAGAGGTGCTCAGAATACAACAGTTTAGAAGCATATACGTATAAAGATACACAACATATCCCTCCAAACTGCCAATATCCCAAACCCCTCCTTTAAAGTGCAGGCATTGTACTTCCCATTTCCAGGACTCAAGTCCGACTATAATTATTATTAATATTATTTTTATCATTATTATTTGAAGGTGACTACTAAATTCATAACAGGTCATATAGCATCTGGGGAATGGAAGGCCATCAGGTTCGATCCAAGAAAGTGGAAGATAATTCTTATTTCTTGGATAGAGAGCCCTTCACCAGCATAAGGAACCTTCCTGGAGGGGTCGTTGCTCGACAATCTCTTAGGTTTATCCTCGCTTCTATATATGATATTGATCCTGGCTCGTTTGTAAACACACTGTGGAATTAATGGTGTTTATTGCATTCCTCCTTGTCATTTCCTGTGAGTGTTCCCTCTTCTGTTCTATAAATTATCACTCAGTCCTTTATTCTTAATTTCCTTTTGATGAGGTTGGGAAGATACTTTGGTTTTATCTTTGCCTTGGCTGCTCTGTCAGTTTAAAATTGTTTTTCCGCTTCCCACCTTACCTGAAAATAATCTCTCTCTATACTGACAATTAAACCATAGGTTATTTCCAGGGAGGATTTATCTCTGTATTAACTATACTTAAACCTAAGATATTTTGGGCAACATTTTTGCAAAGTTTTCTGTAATAGGAAGTCTGAATTTTGTACTTGAACCCTTCAGCTGTCCAAATGTAGATCTATGGTTTCGCGCATAGCGCTCCGACCTTGATTTCCTCCATAAGAAAGCGTGTAAAAAAAAAAAATCGTAGATCTACATTCAGAGCAGTACATGAACGAACGTAGATCCACGTTTGGACAGTTTAAGGGTTAATATGCTTCAAACTCACATATATTATGGCATTTTACAGGTTCATAATGGCTTAAGAAAGGATCACTATGCTTGTCACATGTGCAACTTAAAATTCAACATGGGAGAGGTATTGACAAAACACCTGATTAAAGAACATGGGTTCCACTCTCCTGTAGGGCACACTCGGTTCAGGTAAGGTCAGTGGTCATTTAAGTGATATCTGAATTGTATTTTAATATTAAAATAATGATTTGACAAGAAATTTTGATAATGCAGTATTAACCATTCATTGATTAAAGAAGGACTGGAGAGGCATCACAAAGATCCATTGATAATGCTTCTGGGATTTATGGTAATAAAGTATTTTTGGGAAGTGTGAGGAGATGAATAACTTAAGTTGTAAATAACCTAAAAAAAAAAAAGGAAAGGCTGAAAAAAAAGGTATCGTAAAATGTTTATAAGATAATTATTTTTTAAGTCTCAATAAATGTGCTGTCACTTTTTTTTTTCTAACCTCAGTGAAATATCGTGTTGCTAATGAAGATTCTATAAAGGAAAAATTTTAGCAACCATATTAGTTAATGCTGAATTGTTTTATTTATTTTTTTACATAGATAAAATGTTAAGCTAGTCCATTCTACTGGCAGTAATAGTTAATTATCTATACATTGTCCACTTTAAACTTTACCAACTTTAAAGATTTATTTTTGCTCATGTGAAATACTTGTCTAGTTATTGTTTATACACCTCGCTGCTAGACCTATAAAATGGCAAATTTCGGACAGTTTTATTGCAGTCGTAGGATATATACCTAGAGGGGCATATATCTCTTTGTATATATGCTGAAAGTTTACCTTAATTTCTCTCTTAGGGTTTAACACTTTCAAGGTCGAGAGGCCCTCTCCTAAACTTGTTCTCAGGGTCAAAAATTTTTTTGGGAAAAAAAAAAAATTCTTATGAAAAGATAGAGAATCTTTTCCCGATGATAATGACACCAAAAGTATGAAATTTGATGGAAAACTTATGGAATTATGCTCTCACGAAGTTAGCAGTCTCGACAATGTTTACGCATCTGCAATTTTGCCCACTGAGCCATTTTTTCGGCCAATTCCAGTATACTAGTCAACAAAAATCATAACTATTTCGCTAGAACTCCATTTTTTTCTATCGAATGAGTACAAGAAACCACCCATTTACCGATTTAAACTATCCAGTAAAGTGGTCAGAAATTAGCAATTTTGCCAATTTCACACAAATTTCAAAAGATGCCAATTTCCAAATAGGGACCAGAATAAACAAGACAGACATTCCTGGCACTAAAATAACATTTGCTCTGTTCATTAGTCATGTCCCCACGCCCCTCTTACATTTCTTTTACTTTCCACTTTGAATTTTTATTCTCACAAAAAATAGAAGATTTACTGTTATGCAGACTACTGCATTAGTGTAGAAATGGTTTAACTAATATCAGCGCACTTGTGAAAGAATATTAGACTTGCCAGTTGACGTGTATTAGATGCCTGGCATGATTGGTTTACTTTTGAACTTTGGCAAAAATCAAACATTTCTGCTACCTTGAGTTCAATTTCAAGGTACTTTTCATTGTGAAACCAATCAAAATCATCTCAATTTTTGTAATATATCTTCCATTCTATAAAATGAGATTGGGAAAACTAGAATACAACCATAAATACCATATGAAAATACAGTGCAAATTATTATTATAATCAAAAAGATGCACTAAACCACAAGGGGTATACAGCACTCAGGGCAGGAAGGAAGCGAGGGTATCAGGTGGCAAAAGGGAGATGGATGAGTAATAGATTATGGAGAACAGCAGGGCAGTGGATGGTGAAAGGGTAGAGGGCAGCAAGAGATTGAGGTAGAAAGGGCTGAGGGGAGTGCGAAAGGTATCATCAGAGTTTGTGGAGTAAATCAGTCGTTGTCAAGAAGTCAATGAGAGAGTCATGATTAAAGGAGGGTCCATCAGCAAGAAGGGAAGGTAAAGAGAGAGAGTAGTAGAGCGGAGACGATGTTGGAGGTAAATTCTGCGTGCTCGTTGATAGAGAGGGCAGTCTAACAGAATGTGGCTAATCGATACTGGAACTTGACACTGCTCACAGAGAGGAACAGGGTGCCTCTCCATGAGATACCCATGAGCAAGACGAGTGTGGCCAATGCGAAGGCGGGAGAGAGTAGTCTCCCAACCTCAGCACTGTTGACAAGACGGCCAGTAACCTCTGCTCGGTTTAATAGAATGACGTTTATTACCGAGCAGAGTTGACCAACGTTGTTGCCCAGTGGGTGTGAGGTGGGTAGCTATTAAAGCAAAATAGTCCAGAAATGGAACACCTCTATATGAAATTGGTAGGTCATGTACTGCTGACCGCGCAGCAGTGTCTGCCTGTTCATTGCCCTGTACGTCAACATGACCAGGGACCCAACGAAAAACAATATCTTTATGCTTGGTAGAGATACGGTGTAGCCAAAGTTGGACATGGAGAACTAGGGGGTGAGGTGTATCAAATTTCCATATAGCCTGTAGAGCACTAAGGGAGTTTGAGAAAACCACAAATGATGACACAGGCATAGATGCGATACGAATAAGTGCTGCAAGAATGGCATACAATTCAGCAGTAAAAATGCTAGCCGAAGATAGTAAATGCCCTCGCACGATGCTGTCTGGAAACAGTGCTGCGAATCCGACGCCGTCAGAAGACTTAGAGCCATCTGTGTACACTGCGATGGCATGAGAATGAGAGTGGAAGTGGTCAAGAAAAAGAGAGCAGGAAGCTCAGTTGGGCTTTCGAGCAAGGGAGTGAGAAAGAACAGACCCAAACAACTGGAACTTCCCAGGGGGGGTAGGGAAAAGCAAGATGCTACATGAACATATAGAGATGGTAACTGAAGGGAAGACAAGAGCGAATGTAGGCAGAGAGAGAAGGGACGGAGCAAACGGGTGGCGAACAAATAATGTCTACTAATATCGGTGACCATTCTATAAATGGAAGGATTGTGGAGATCGTGAGAGCATACATAGTAGCGAAGGCAATGGGCATCACGGCGATCAGACAAGGATGGAACATTTGCTTCTGCATAGAGGCTCTCAACAGGAAGAGCAAAATGCACCAAGGCATAAACATAATCCTTGGTGATGGATGAGGTTAAGGCTAGAGAGAGTAGCAGGAGAGGCCGCTGAATAGATCTGGTCACCATAATCAAGTTTCGATAAAATAGAGGGCTGAATGTAGGCGAAGGAGAGTTCGACGGTCAGCTCCCCACGAAAGATGAACAAGGGTTTTAAGAAGGTTCAGCCGGCTGTGACAAGTTGCCTTCAGAGAGGTAATGTGAGGTTTCGAAGATAACCTACGGTCAAAGAGAAGGCCAAGAAACCTGACTGTCACGTTCAGGGATACGGGAGTCATAGAGGTACAAAGGATGATCGGAGATGACAGAGCGTCTAGTGAAAGTAATTTGACGAGTTTTGGTACTGTAGAATTTAAACCCATGTGTGGTGGCCCAATTGGAAACATGGTCAACCGCATGCTGGGGAGAAACTGTAATGAGATGACAGTCAGTGCCTGCACAAGCAATATCGAAGTCATCAACATAGTGATGACCAAATATTGGATGGAAGAACAAAGGCCAAATCATTTATAGCAAGGAGAAAGTGTTGTGCTCAGGACACATCCCTGAGGGACACCTTCAGCTTGGACAAAGTCTGGGGAGAGCACATTATTGACCCGAACATGGAAATGTCTGTCAGTTAAAAAGTTCTTAAGGAAGGATGGTAGATTGCCTCGGAGGCCTAAAGAGTGGGCTTGGGCCAAAATATTATACCTCCAAGTTGTCATATGCCTTCTCAAGGTCAAAAAATATGGCAATAACCGAGTGGTTATTCGCAAAGGCATTACGAACATACGTATCCAAGCGTAGTAAGGGGATCTATGGTAGATCGGCCCTTATGAAAGCCATATTGACTAGTGGAGAGACTGTAGTGTGTCTCTAAATACCACATTAAACGTCGATTTACCAGACGTTCCATCACTTTGCAAACTGCACTGGTAAGAGCAGTGGGACGATAGTGGGAGGCTTCATGTCCCGTAGTACCCGGCTTGCGGAAAGGGAGAACAATGGCAGATTTCCACAGCTGGGGAAGGACTCCTTGTGACCAAATAAGATTGAAGAGGTGTAAGAGGACTACAAGGGCTCACTGATGTAAATGTTCTAACATCCGAATATGAATGTCGTCAGGCCCAGCTGCCGATGATCGGCAAGCTGAGAGTGTTGCCTTCAGTTCCTGAAGTGTAAAGGGCGCATTATACTGCTCTTCTCTGAGAGAAGAAAAGTCCAAGGGTACTAACCCTCTGGCAGACTTTGAGGAAAGAAAAGAGGGGCATAGATGGAGCCCCCGGGAAATGCAAACCAGGTGAGTGCCAATTTCAATGGCAACGTCATGAGGGTTTGCTACATCAACACTGGCGACCTGTAGAACAAGAGCCGGGTCAGAAGAGTATTTACCACTGAATTTCCTCACTTTTTTCCAGACTGCACTCATAGGGGAAGCAGAGGTGATGGTGGAAACATAATCTCGCCAGCAAGTGCGTTTAGCGTCACGGATGACACGACGAGCGATCGCATGCTTCTGCTTAAAATCAAGAAGTCTCTCATCACTTCTATTGTACCGGTACCTGCCCCATGCAGAGCATTTCAAGCGTACTGCACGAGCACAAGCAGGAGACCACCAAGGCACGCACTTCTGAGAATGCCTGCTTGAGGTTTGGGGTATAGAATGAGAAGCTGCGGTTAAAACTGACGTCGAGAAGAGGTGAAGGAGCTCATCAGTGGAGGATGAAGAAGGAACCTCACTAAAAGCAGTGAGTTGTGAGTAAAGGTCCCAATTTGCCTGATCAAATTGCCAGCAAGGGCTACGGAAAGGTGGTGAATACGAAGGAGAAGTAAGAATGATTGGAAAAGGATCACTGTCATGCAAGTCTGGTAGAACAGACCAGGCGAAGTCAAGTGCAGTGGAGGAAGAGCAGACCGATAGATCGATGCAAGAGAGAGTATGAGTACGAGGATCAAAATGGGTGGGAGTACCCGTATTTAAAACATGGAGGGGGTGAGAGGCGAGAAAAGCCTCCAACTGGATGCCACGCGAGTCACAACGAGACCCCCCAGAGGAAATGGTGGGCATTAAAATCGCCAAGTAACAGAAGTGGTGGTGGTAAGGATGAAACAAGAAAGGCAAAATCTGGGATAGAAAATGCTCGAGAAGGAGAGAGATATAAAGAACATATTGTAAACCACTTATTCAAGTGGATACGAGCTGCAGTGTAATGCAGCGAGGTATGGACAAATAGTTGACAGTATGGAATATCATTGTGTAGAAGAAGGGCACTTTCATTAAAGGTCCCATCTGAGAAAGAATCCGAAGCATACAATAAATTATAGCCTGAGATAGGTTGGAAAACAGCCGAGTGTAATTTTGGTTCTTGAAAGCAAGCACCAACGGGAAAATCTGGAAAGCAACATCTGAAGCTCACCACGATTACCCCAGAGGCCGTGGATATTCCACTGTAAATAGGCCATGATTGGCAACGAGGAAAATACCAAGAATCCGTAGGGAAGGGCACCTACGGACTAGAGGTTAGAAAAGTCAACCTGCGGCAGCATCGGAAGATGTTCAAGCAGCGAAGGAACGGAGCGTTGCGAAGAATGGAGTTGTGGAGATGAAGGAGAGGGAAGAGAAGGAACAGGAGGTGGATCAGTGTCTATTGAAGGTTTAGTCTCTGCAATATATTCTGAAATGGCTTCAAGTGTTTCTGAATTCAAAGACGTATGGGAGACAGTATTGGAGGTAGAAGGAGGAGGGTGAGTAAAGATTGGGACAGTAATGGACTGTACCAAAGTAGAGGGGGACAAAAGAGTGTAGGGGACTGGAGAAGTGTGGGAGGGGACAGAAGATGCAGAAACCTGGGAGGTGGCAGAAGAGGGAGAAACTTTGGAGGGGATGGGGGTGGAAGGCATAGTACGAGGAGGAGGGTGAACCTCCACACTTGTAATAGAGCCAGAGAGAGGGGAAGAACTAGGCACAGAGACTGGAAAGGTAAAATGCAGAGGTGGAAGAAGGGAAGGAGGGGGCAAAGAAGATTTGAGCAACGGGGATTTTTTGGACTTCTGAGAAGTAGAGGGGCGATTGGTATGAGGTGTCGTATGAGGTCTTGTTGATATCGGGGCTTGTGAGGAAGGACGCGAAGATGTGAAAACAGACTGAGGTGTTGTAGTAGGGACGTCAGAGCCCAGGACAGCAAAAGAATTAGATACCAGAGTGGCTATGGGAGGGGTAACCACAGAGGAACCTGCAGAAGATGGGACCCCAGAAGTGGGGGACGTTTTGAAACACGAGAATAAGAAACACGGGGTAGTCTCCCTTGGAGGCGGAGATGGGAAACTCCCATAGCCTAAGGGAGACCTTCTGCCTCTTTGAGGAACGGATTTCCTGCTCATTTAAGTAGACCTGGCAACGGCGAGAGTACGAAGGGTGAGCCTCATGACAATTAAGGCAAGAGGGAGGTCGACTGCAAGTCGTATTAGAATGGTCGTCGGCACCACAGACTGGGCATTCAGCTATAGATCTGCAATATTTCGCTGGGTGACCAAAGCGCCAGCAATTTCTACACTGTTGCGGTGTAGAGATCACCTTTTGAACTTGTAACCGATGTCCCGCGACAGAAGCAGAGGACGGAAGTTCACGACTGTCGAAAGTTAATCGAGCCACATTGCAAGGGTATTGTCTCTGCCCGCGGGCAGGAAGGACATAAGTGTCTACTTTGAGGAGTGGGAGATCCTGGAGTTCCAGCTGTTCAAAAATGTCATTGTCACATGTCTGGAAATTCTGTTGGACTATGGTATGGGGCAGAATGACAGTACCACTACAAGAATTGAGAGAAAGGTGTTTTTCAATAGTGATAGGAGTAGTATCGATATGCGAAAGGAGAGAAAGATCATGAGCTTGGGTAGCATTCTGGATAGCGACGATGCGCGTACCTCTCTTTGAGAGCATGAAATGAAATATCTCTACCAACATGACGCAGGAGCGCTTTGCCCATACTATGGTCGGAAAGATAGGCAGCAGAAGAAGTCGGTCTTAAAGTAAAGAATTTAGTCCATTGTGTGGTCCGAAACTGAATGTGGAGAGGGAGTGCATGACGTGTCGGTCTTTTCCGAGTAGAATGGGAAGGTAACGAAGTAACATCATCAGGAGATCATCGTTGGCGTTTAGAAGTGGGATCAGAGTTGGTCCGACGTGGGACGGGCTGGCAATTTGAAAATTGCCGCACCGTAGAGGGAGAGGCCGGAAGCATAGTCAAAGGAGAGCGGAGGTCAGACAAATCGAAAGAGTCAGTCGAAACCCTGGTACCTGAAGCGGGTGAGGAAACAGCACCAGCAAGAGGTACAGGGGCCTTAGGAGTGTCCGAAGAGTGGTCAAAAAATGAGGCAGGGTCAGAATGGGGTGTGGTATAAAGAAGGGGCCTGGGGGTAGTAGGTTCATGGACTGGGTTCTCCATGGTTAGGTTACTCCTTTTCTTTTTGTTTTTAAGAAAAAAAAGGAAAATGAAAATGAAAAAAAAAAAAAAGAAAGAAAGGGGGACCGGCGTGGGATAGTTCCTAGGAGGAATGAAAGGGCCAGAAATCTCCCTCTGTGCCCAAGAAGACCTTGGCACCGCAAGTAGCGCAGATGCAGCATGGAGCCCGTACCATACCCTACCCTTCATGCCAGTAAACCAGCAGTCCGGGATAGCAACCTCACATCTGCCGAGCTACCTCGGTGGACAAAAGAGGGCGGCCGGATATCCGCCACAAAGCATACCTCCTTCAGCCACCACCCCCGGAATCCGAAAGGTGGCTTCCAGAGATACACCCGTCGCCCGAAAGACACCCAAAGCCACCCTCCGGGATACCGGAGAGGGATCGGGACATCCCCAGGCGATCCGGATTCCACTGCAAACTACGCCACCACCAAGAACCTCAACGGAATGGGATGGACCCCGGTACCCTTTCCCCTACCTAGGAACTAGCGCGCCTGTGGGAAAAATCCCAAAGGCCGAAAAGAGGAAGGGCAAAAGGGAGGGGTGAGGAGGAGGAAGAAAGGAAAAAGGGGAGGATGGGATTGGGGGGTAATTAGGTTCGGTCTGAGGAAGGAGACCGACAGGTCTAATTCCTCAGACCAAGAGCCTCTTCGCCATGCCAAGGAGCCCCCCCTTGAAGAGGAATACAGTGCAAAGTCGCTGTTTTAAACCAAAAACATTATCAAAGTTTTTTTTTTTTTTTTCATTACACACTGTGTGCTGCAGGATTTTTTTTTACTGTGCACACTGATTACGTAGACCCATTCTTTCAAATGTTGGGCTACCAGCTTTCTCTCGCTAGATTTGAAGGCGCTAGAATTTAGGCGTACTAGTATGTCAACCCTGGTGTGTAAGCCATACTAGTATGTCAGAAACCCTGAAAGGGTTAAAATACAATATTTTTGTCTGGTGGAGGAAAGGATATGTACAGTCACAATGACTCTTAGGTAGTTGATAGGATTTAAACCCTGTTAACCAATCATCCTTACCAACATGGCATCCAGCTAGAAGAAAATGCATATAGAAATGTATGAAACTAATGTGAATAGTAGGAAAAATTAAAGTTGAAAAAGCATAGTAAGACTGCATAATTGAGTCGAGCAGGATTCATGCGATGGAGAAAGACTTGGAATAGAATCAGTAAAGCATGGTTATTGGACACGTTTTGATCTTGATACCTAATTTATTTCAAATGTGGAGTGATCGAATTCCCAGGCTAGCGTGCCAGTCTGGAATTTTACGAGTCTCTAACCGTGAGTTCAAGCCCCGCCCATGGTATGATTTATTTCTAATAAACATGTCCTAGTTGCTTTGTGTCTTTCTCCACTGCTTGTCAGTATTGTATACCTTTATATCCAGGATTCATGTGAAAGGAATGAGAGTAGCTTCTGGGAACAGTTATTGAGGAGTACAGTGGACCCCCGGTTAACGATATTTTTTCACTCCAGAAGTATGTTCAGGTGCCAGTAGTGACCGAATTTGTTCCCATAAGGAATATTGTGAAGTAGATTAGTCCATTTCAGACCCCCAAACTTACACGTACAAACGCACTTACATAAATACACTTACATAATTGGTCGCATTTGGAGGTGATCGTTATGCGGGGGTCCACTGTATATGAAAGATTTCTCAAGTGCATAGGGGCTGAAAAATGCTGAAGCAAGAGGCTGGTTAGCGCAGGCTGGAATTTTTTTGTTGCACTTACATGGTGGGGAATAAGTTTTAATATGAATGATTAAATTCAAGATTTGTTGCATTATATTTAAAATAATATCACTTCAAGGGTGATTTGAAGTTGCCCTCCCCTTCATGATCAAATTGGATTCCCTCCCATTACCCAAGTCCCTCCCCATGAATGTAATAATCGAGAGAATGTAGTGAGCAAAATTTCCAGAGGTGAATATTTTCATCATTTATACTTGTGCAGTAAATAATCTATTTTATTCGGGGAGGCAGTCTGGTTCAATCTAAGGAAGGGGAGGATAAGTCCATTTCCTTGTATCAAGAACATGTCAGACCATCTCTGTTGAAGGGGTATATAGATGAGCAACGGGTAGGTTTTAGGTGGTTGGGGCTTGGGCATCCAACAGGTGTGTGAGAGCATGGTGGATTATGAGTGGAGAGAAATGGTTTCAGGGAATTGACATGCTGTTGGAGGGTAAGAAAGTTGACATAGGAAGGGATTCAGTGAAGTAGGTTTGCCAGACAGTCCTGAAGGTGGGAAGTAGAATGCCTGCTCTCTGGAGGAGGGGTGGAGATGTTATGGTTTGGAGTATTACTTAAATTGTGATTTCTGCATATTTTTGGCAAGACAGCTATTGAATAAGACAAATGGTTTCATTTTAATGGGTCACCCTACCTTGGTGGGAGATGACTGATGTGTTAAGGAAAAAAAAAAAGTATTGTTGGAAAACCCCATTAGTATTTTAATTTGTTGCAGCAGTATGATATATTTAGCCTTCTAGAGTATTCATTTGTACTGATCTTCCTCTTTAAATAGATACAAACAGGATGAAGATGGCTTTTATAGAATCCAAACAGTTAGATATGAAAGCATTGAACAAACACAGGAAATGTTAAATGAGGAAGAAGAGAATACTTTGCAAGAGGAAGAAGTGGATTCACCTCAGCCATCATTACCTCCATCTCCATCTCCACCATCACAAAACATTAAGACTGGCTGGCTACCATACAAGAGCACTAAGCGAGAATACGTGTATTCTGTGAGTAATTGAATCTATCTGTATTCATCAATAATTGTCTGAGTTTATGGGGAGAGTGAGATTCCAATGATTCTTTATTTTCTTTAAAAGAAATGAAAGAGCCTGTTCTTGTCTACCCTGTTTATGCCAAGAGTATTTTTGTTGTCCTCATTGTATCCTGTATCTTCCTATGATGGATGGTCTAACTCCCTTTTTACAGTAACTTGTGTGCTACTATTGGTATTCTGTTTGTATACTTTAAGTAATCACAGTTCAGCATGTAAATAAACTTTCAGCAACTTAATATTATAATAAAAAAAGTTATTAAAAATAGCAGTAGGAAGGAGCATAGGGTGATGTTAGGCTTAACTGTGGTAGCCCATAGCACCCCCCCCCCACACACACATGCACGTACGTACACACATGCATGTGTCCTTGTTTATCAAAGAATGAATGTACCAACTAAACTGATGTACAAATGCAGATAAAGTAGGTACTGCATACACATTACATCCAGATTCCTTTTAACCTTGATTAGGGAAAGGAAGATAAGCAGAGGGGATATAAATACTTGTAGGAGTCTTTCTCATGGACATGAGCAGTTCCATGTCAACCCAGAATATACAAGTCATTTATTTTCAAAAAATTAAAGTTTAACTGAATTGGTGCACGGTATATACAAGGTACTAAATTCACACTGTATTTAGTTTACTCTCATTGTAGCCCTGATTATGGAAGGAAGCGAAGGATATATAAATCTTGGAGTTCCTCTGTTTGTATATAAACTATCTCCAGTATCCTCGCATTTTTAATCCTGATGATATCAAGGATATGAAAAAACTTCACTTGTTGAATATGTAGGAAATAACTAACTTGATCACATTTGTTAGTTTTCTTGAGACTCCTGTGGTTAACAATTTACAGTACAGGAGGACCCCTGTATCCACGGGGGATATAGTAGGGCTCCACTTTATGGTGTTCCATTAATACAGACATTTAAAATCATGACCGAAACTCGCTATACGGCTCCTCCCACCTGACTTTCTAATAGTTACCATGCCCTATCCAGTTTGTTTACATTCTCCGTGAGCACCGCATCTCTACATTGTCTAAAACACATGAAATTTTGGAAATTTTTCAAAGTTATTTCATGTTTTATATTTACTGATAATTATACTCTTGTGTACCTGTACCTAGATAAACTTGCACACTGTGCTGGCGTGCAGATACACATTAAAATCACTAAGAGTGTCTTATTAGTCTCGAGGACGATATAATAATGATTATTGCATATTATCACCGAGGCGCATTAAATGTAGTATATTACATTAATATAAACATTTTCATTAATCCATTTTTTTTTTCAAAATCATATAATGAACATGATAAATACACCCCACAGTAGAATAAATTAACATTAATATGAGATGTTATGTGTATGAATCAAACCCAGACATGTTCATCTGCTTTTTTACTTCTGCATCTCTCTGTTTGCTCACCTTTCACCCTATATTAAGACTACAGATATTTTAAGGTAAGTAATGAGTGTACTGTATGTGCATTTTATCGCTCTAGTCCACTTTAAATGTCGTAGTACTGTATTACGTGTGGGTGGGGTGGCCTGGCTGGCTACCATACCTACCACCTCTGACTTACAATAAATACTACTCACCTCGCATCCTACATTAAGACTACAAATGTTTTAAGATAAGTAATTAGTGTTGTGCATGTGTATTTTACTTTTTATTTTTTTAATGCCTAGTTCTATTGCTAATACATGTTAGTATAAACTTGTTATAAATGACATTCTGCTTTCTGGCATTAACCTGGAACCTGACCTGCTGTGCAAGTGGGCCCCTACTGTACATTCCAAGACCTACTGCTGATAGTAGTGAACCTATATTTAAAGTAATTTTTTGTTTATATACATAGATATGATAAAGTTTAATTGATAAATTATGCACAAGTGGAGAATTAGCACTTTCCACTGATGGGAAACACTTCACGACTTCTCTTAGGCTTTGAAGAAATGTCACCATCACACTTTTGTACCTTGTTGTTATTAAGCAAAATTAAGGGTTATTTTTGGGCTAGGTTAAACCATGGAAACCAAACCCACAGATATAGCGGTCCTACTGTACAGCCTCTCCTCATTTGGCAACGTGCGTACTTGTTTACCAACGACTCGGACTTAAGGTGGGCTCTCTGACTGGTATACATATCTAAATAATGTATGTCAGAGCTGATTTCCTCTATTCTGTATATTACAGTATACAGTACACTACTGCATAAATGGTGCAAAGGTGACATTAAAACAATATCAAAGTGTTGACACAAACCCACTACCATTATGGTATGCTCCTCACTTAGTGATGAATTCATTTACGAATGTGGTCTTTGGAACGGAACTCAGTCGTTAAGCGAGGAGAGGCTGTATACTGTGGCAGCAGTGCTGCAAGATTATTTCTTCACTCATTTACTTACTGTGCTTTCCACACACTAATATCAGTTGCTAACGTAAGTGAATGACTGTTAATGGCGCTGTAACATGTAGTTAATTATGGGTCACTAGCATTATATAATCTAGCTCATATATGTAATTATATTTTTAAAGGGATGGCCGGTAAGCCAGCTGAAGGCCTGTCAAATCACCAAAAATTGCAGTGGAGGATTGTCATATTACCAAGACCTGCATCTGGAAACAATTTCCCTGTTTCTTGACAGGGTTTTTAATGACTTTTCTCTATATTTAGTCATAAAACCAGTCATGATTGTGTCTTAATTGATGGTCTGCTGTATTTTGTTTATCTTGTGACCACACAAAGGTATTATACAGCATTAGAATTATATTAAGTTTGTTCTAAATGTTTAATTTTTTTTTTTAATTTCAGAATGATTTGGAAAAACGTGTTAATTTGAAGCCACCTAGAAGTGTAAAAACTATTGAATATCAAGAAATAATTCTCCCATCAGAATTTTAGCTACCTACTGTGACCATGGAGAGAGTTTCCTAAACTGAATTGTGCATTGCATCTTTCAAGGAAACTGATCAAAAAGGCCTAAACTCACAAGGGTCATACAACACTTAAGTAATAGCAAAAGAAATAGTTACATTGCGACATTAGATTGAACTAAATATGTACATTAAAATGCTTGCTTCATCGTACTGTGATTACCTCCTTTAAAATTTCTTTTGCTGTGATATAAAATGTATTTGCTTTTATAAAGTAATAAAATGTGGAGTTAGCAATTTTTTACATACATGAAAAATGGTTACTGAAATTATATTGGTTGGGGTATTGTGCAGTACTTTATATATTTTGCTTGTTCCACTTCAGGCAATTATTCTAATCAAAACCAAGCTATGGTCATAGCTCTGTCACTTCAACATAATTACAATTTATAAATGCAAATAATATGAATGTTGATGAACAGTTGTTAACCCCTTGCCTGTGTCAACCCCAAATACCGAGGTGTCTCCTGGTGTTGCAAAATTTTCTTATGCAATGATAGAGAATCTTTTCCCGATTGTAACGACACCAAAAATGAAATTTGATGGAAAACTGACGTAATTATGTTCTCGAAGTTAGCGACAGCGATATTTACGAATTGGCGATTTCGCCCACTTTGAGGCCTATTTTCGGCTAATTCCATTGTTCCAGTCGACCAAACTGCTATTTCTTTAGAGCATTTTCTATCGATTGAGTAAAAGAAACTGCCCATTTACTTATTTCAACTACCCAGTAACGTGGTCAGAAATTTGCCATTTGGCCATTTTCACAAAAATTAAAAAATATGAGAATTTCAAAATAGGGTCCAGGATGAACAATGCAAACATTTCTGGCTCTAAAATAGCATTTTGTTTGTTCATCAGTCACGTCTCCAGGCCCCTCTGATGTTACTCTTGCTTTCTATTTTGAATTTTTATTCAAACAAAAAATAGATTTACTGTTATGCAGACTACTGCAATATTGTAATAATTGTATAAATGTCAACCCATTCATGACTGCATATTAGAATGGCTACTTGGACATTTATTGGAAAATTACATTTGTTTACTTTTGAACATTGGCAAGAATCAAGTTTTTCCTGCTTTGAGCTCCATTTCAAGGCTCTTTTCATAGTAAAACCAATCAAAATCACCTCTATTTCTGTGTTTTCCATTCTATCAAATGAGACCAAGAAAACAATACAACCATAAATACATGAAAATAGGCCACAAAGTCGGCATTTTAATTAAAAAAATGGACAGTTTTTTTTTTCTCCTATGCATTGCATGCTGCAGGAATTTTTTTTATATGGTGCACACTGACCACAGACCCATTTTCTCGCATGTGGGCCTACCAGCTTTCTCCTGCTGGATTTGAAGCTGCTAGAATTTACGAGTACTCAGTGGAACCTCAAATATCGAACTTAATCCGTTTCAGGAGTTCTAAATTCAAAAAGTCTGAAATTTGAAGCAATATGTCCCATAAGAAATAATGGAAATACAATCAACCCGTTCCAGAAACCCAAAAATATTCACAAAAAAATTTACACTTTATAGATTAATTATAGTTTTACATACAACAAATGGTGTTCATTTATGTATTAATAAATTTAAATAAACATTTAAAATAACATTTTACTTACCTTTATTGAAGATTGGTGATGGCATCTAGAAGATAGGGAGGAGGAGTTGGGGTTAGTGTTTGGAAGGAGAATGCCCCTCCATGATGACTTCAGGTATCAAAGCCCTCTGGGGTTACTTCCCTTCTGTCTTTTAATGCCACTAGGACCAGCTTGAGTCACAGGACCCCTGTCTCAAAATAACCATCCACAGTTATTTTGAGAGATTGAGATTTCCCTAAAATAGGATATGGTTCTATCACTGAACTTATTGCAAAGATGGCTGTTTCAGCTTGCTCAGGGTGGTGCTTCACAGACATTTGGACATCATTACACTTCTGTATTATTTCCTTCACATTATTATTATAATCAAAAAGAAGCGCTAAGCCACAAGGGCTATACAGCGCTGCAGGGTAGGGAAGGAAGCGAGGGTATTGGATGGCAGAAGGGAGGAGGGATGATCAGTAGGTTACAGAAAACAGCGGGGCAGGGGATAGTACGGGGGTAGAGGGTAGCAAGAGATTGAAGTAGAAAGGGCTGAAGGTATCAGAATTTGTGAAGTAAGTCGGTTGTTGTCAAAAAGTCAATGAGAGAGTCTGGATGAAAGGTGGGTCCATCAGCGAGAAGGGAAGGTAGAGAGAGAGCAGCAGAGCAAAGACGACGACTGAGGTAAATTCTGCGTGCTCGTTGATGAAGTGGGCAGTCCAACAGAATGTGGCTGACTGATAATGGAACTTGGCAATTCTCACAGAGGAGCAGGGCGCCTCTCCACGAGATATCCACGAGTAAGACGAGTATGGCCAATGCGAAGACGGGAGAGAGTAGTCTCCCAACCTCGACACTGGTGATAAGAAGACGGCCAGTAACCTATACTCGGTTTAATAGATTGAAGTTTGTTGCCGCGCATAGTAGACCAACATTGTTGCCAACGGGTGTGAAGTTGGGAAGATATTGCAGCAAAATAGTCCGTAAATGGAATACCTCTACATGAAACTGGTAGGTCATGTACTGCTGACCGCGCAACAGTCTGCCTGTTCATTGCCCTGTACGTCAACATGACCAGGGGCCCAACAAAAAACAATATGTGATGAATGGTTTGAAAAACCGACAAGTTGAAGATTGAGACACTTACGGCCCTATGCTGTACATTCTACAAGATTGATGGACTGAACACATCGACTCCAGGCTGAGGGACTGATTACCTCATACTCCTCCTCTCCTTACGCCTTCCTCTTTGTATTGGACTGATGAAGCCACTGTGTGGCGAAACGTTTCCTGAATAAAGATTCCCATATGCTGCATAAGTGTCTCAATCTTCAAAAAACAATATCTTTATGCTTGGTAAAGATACGGCGTAGCCAAAGTTGGATACGGAGGACTAAGGGATGGGGTGTATCAAATTTCTGTATAGCCTGTAAAGCACTAAGGGAGTCTGAGACAACCACAAATGATGACACAGGCATAGATGCAATATGGATAAGTGCTGTAAGGATGGCATACAATTCAGCAGTAAAAATACTAGCCGAAGATAGTAAATGCCCTTGTACGACGCTGTCCGGAAACACTGCTGGCGAATCACGACCATCAAGAAGACTTAGAGCCATCTGAGTACGTACACAGCAATGGCATGAGAATGAGAGTGAAAGTGGTCAAGAAAAAAGAGAGTGGGAAGTGACCGTAGACAGTTGGGCTTTCGAGCCAAGGAGAGAGAAAGAAGAGACTCGAACAGCTGAACTTCCCAGGGGGGTAGGGAAAAAGTGAGATGCTACATGTCAAAGAAAGGTGGTAATTGAAGAAAGACAAGAGCGAAATGAAGGCGAAGAGAGAAGGGACGGAGTAATAAGGGGCGAGACGAACAAAAAAGAATGTCTACTAATAGCATGACCATCATAAATGGAAGGATTGCGGAATCACGAAGAGCGTACATAGAGCGAAAGGCAAGGGCATCACGGCGATCGATAGATGGAACGTTTCGCTCTGCATAGAGGCTCTCGACGAGGGGAAGAGCGAAAAGCACCAAGCATAAACGTAATCCTTGGTGATGATGGGGTTACGGCTAGAGAGAGTAGCAGGAGATGCCGCTGAATAGGATCTGGTCAACATAATCAATTTTCGATAAGATAAGGGGTGGAAGGTAGGCAAAGGAGGGTTCGACGACAGCTCCCATGAAAGATAGCCAAGGGTTTTTAAGTAAGGTTTCAGCCGGCATGTGACAAGTTGCCTTAAAGAGAGGTAATGTGAGGTTTCCAGGATAACCTACGATCAAAAGAGTAGGCCCAGAAACTTGACTGTCTCACGTTCAGGGATACGGGAGCCATAGGAGGAACAAAGGATATCGGAGATTGAACAGAGCGTCTAGTGAGAAAGTAATTTGTGGGTTTTAGTGCTGAAAAACTTAAACTCCATGTGTTGTGGCAGAATTGGAAACACGTCGACTGCATGCTGAGAGAAACTGATAATCAGGTACATCAGCGCCGCACAGGCAATAAGCGAAGTCATCATCATAGAGTGATGACCAAATATTTTGATGGAAGACTAGAGGCCAAATCATTAATAGCAAGGAGAAAAAGTGTGCTCTGTGAACACATCCCTGGGGGACACCTTTCAGCTTGGATACAGTCCGGGGGAAGTAAATTCACATTATTAACCCAACACGGAAATGCCTGTTAGTAAAAAGTTCTTAAGGAAGGAGGTAGATTGCCCTCAAGGCCTAAAAAAGGAGTGGGGCTTGGGCCTAAAATATTATACCTCCCAAGTTGTGTCATATGCCTTCTCAAGGTCAAAAAACAAATATGGCAATAACATTGGTTTATTTTGCAAAGGCATTACAACATACATATCCAAGCGTAGTAATGGGTTCTATGTAGAACCCTAACGAAAAGAAGCCATATGAACAGTGGAGAGACTGTTGTTGTCTCTAAATATACCACACTAAACGTCTATTTACTAGGTGTTCCATCACTTTGCAAACTGCACTGGTAAGAACAATGGGAGATAGTGGGAGGTTTCATGTCCCGTAGTGCCCTGGTTTTTGCGGAAAGGAGAACAATGGCAGATTTCCCACAGCTGTGGAAAGAAACCCATCCCCCCCCTTGTGACCAAAATAAGATTGTAAAGGTGTAATAGGACTGCAAGGGCTGACTGATGTAAATGTGTAGCAATACGAATATGAATGTCGACGGGCCCAGCTGCCGATGATCGCAAGCTGAGAGTGTTTGCCTCCAGTTCTTGAAGTGTAAAGGGCAAATTATACTGTTCTTCTCTGAGAGAAGAAAAGTCCAAGGGTTGCTAACTCATCTGGCAACCCTTTGAGGAAAGAAATGAGGGCATAGATGGAGTCCCCTAATAAAAAAAAATACCGGACCAGATGGATTGGCCATTATCATTGGCAACATCTGTGGGTTTGCTATACAACACCGGCAACCCGCAGAACAGAGGCCGGGTCAGGAGAATATTTACCACTGTCAGTTTTCGTACTTTTTCCCAGACCGCACTCCATAGAGGAAGCAGAGGTGATGGTGGAGAACACAATCCTCGTCACAAGTGCGTTTAAGCGTCACGGATGACATGGCGAACGATCGCAACGCTGTCTGCTTTAAAATCAAGAAGTCTCTCTGTGGTTCAATGTACCGTACTGC